TGGGTTTTTTTTTTTTTTTTTTTTTTTTTTTTGTCTTTTGTCTTTTTCCGTGTCCGGCAACGGATCGCAACCCTCAGTGTTGCCCCCGTACCGGACCGGGGACCGGCAACGGGATCGCAACCCTGTCATGCATGAGCAGTAGAGCATCTTGCTTTGGTAATTGGAGTACCTGATAGATAAAATATTGGTTCTTCTTCCAAAACTCTAGCAAAAGGGTAATTTTGCATGTAACATCCTGGTACAGATTTTTAGGGTCGCTTCCCCAGTATATAAGGGTCTTGGCTATTATTTCCATAGCCAGGTTTACCTAGATCATCTAATTTACATAATACTGATAAATTAAAGTATGTATGTGTTAAGGTAGTTCTTCCGCTTTTAGTAGTAACTGTAATGAATTTGTACTGATCAAGCCATACTCTCTTCATCTTCTTTGTTATTGGAGGAGTTTGGGAGCTAGTTAATGAGATTAGGATGCAGGAAAAGTCCTGCTCCTAACTCTGCTCTCCTCTCCCTCCTCCTCCTGTTCAATTGCTCTTTCTTTGCTGTCCTCTTCCTCCTCCTCTACATGCATCTGTACCCACGAACAATCACATTCAAAATGTACATTTGATGCTAATCCTCAATTTGAGGACATTGATCAGTGTGAATCTCCAAATTTCCATACAGGAACAATGTTGAATCTTCTCTGAGGGCTCCATAAGTATCTTGAAACCCATCTTGTGAGGATAGATTATGCTGAACTCTCCCCTAGACTGACAGATTATGCTCAGTCTGTTTTACAATAATCTGACTACTTCTCCTTCATCTTTTTTCACTTTTTTTGGTTAACTAATTGCTTTGTTTACAATCATGGAATTTAACCACGAGGTTAAATCTTATCAACACATACACAGAGTAGTGATTTAATTGTGGTTCACATGATTTCTTATTCTTATCAGTTTTTAATTAAAAAATATTAAAATCCAATAGGTTGATAAAATTTAATAAATTAAAATGTCAATTAATCTTAATTCTTATAATTTATTATATCTACTGAACGCAGAAGTTCTCACTCAATTAAACAGTAAAGGTTCAAGGTGATGAAAAAAAAATTTAAACTTTGACTTGGGAAACAGTGGGTGAAATTTAGGTGAACTGATTTCATAATTAATGATAATAAAATGTTGACAAAAGATCCTACTCTGCTGGAATCTTTTTTAGTATGTTAAAATGTTAATAAAACATTTTTTCTTTCATTCAGCATGAATGATAAACTATTGCCCACAGGCCAAATCCAGTTGCCTGATTTTGTAAATAAAGTTTTATTGGAGTACAGTCACACCCATGCATTTGTGCACAGCAACAGAGTTGGGTAGTTGTGAAAGAGACTGTCTGGCCCCAAAGCCTAAAATGTTTACTATCTGGCCCTGCAGCAGAAGTTTGCAGACCTGTGGTTTACAGTCTTATATGATGGTTTATAAGCCTTCAGTTTGAAACAAAAGATGTAATCTTTAAAGATAATTTTCATAAAGGGTTAATATTTGGAAAGGATTGAAAAACAATTATCACATTACAGACTTAGTTTTCATCTTCATCTTTACCAAAATGAAATTACTTTATAACTTCAAGACTGCATAAGCTTTCTATAAGATTCTGTCATTTTTTTTTTTTGTCGTACCAGCTGAAAATACTTCTTGTCAAGAGAATAAAGTTACCAATGGATTTGCAGTTTGTTGAACAAATAAGCCTGACCTTAATTACAAATAATGTCTTACATATTTATTGTGCTCTACTGTTTGCAAATTACATCCACATGCCTTATAACATGTGATTCACAGAAAAGCCTGTTTCTGTTTTATAGATGGGTAAGCAAGGCACAGAGAGAGAGAGAGGGAGAGTGTGTGTGTGTGTGTGTGTGTGTGTGTGTGTGTGTTGATTAGTAACCAGGGCCACAAAGTAAGTGGAAAACAGAAACTAGAACCCAGATATTGTATTCTTATATGCTCAGCCTTTCTTCTATTACAATAAACTTTCTCTGCTTTCTCACAGTATAGATAGCATTGGTGCTGAATGAAAAACACTGCAGGGAGACTGATGGATTTGTTTTAGTAGTTCTTGAAACAATATGGTCGTCAGTTATTAGGGATATATTCAATATCAATGAAAAGAAAATACAGAATTCTTGTCAAATCATATATATTTAGAATGACCTCTAGATGGAGGTAATACACCATATTATGAATTAGCTCTCTTTAGAGTTCCCAAGGACCTGAGAATTAAAGAAATAAGGCATTAAATTATGTTTTCATAAATGAACAATATAAAACACATACACACACATACACAAGTAGAACTGATTGAAAGAAAAGAAGTGATGACCCTTTAGGAGAAAGTGACCAGGGGACCTTTGAATTTATGATGTATAGGCAGATAACTAATATATTAGAATTTAAAGAAGCATATTTCAAAAATATTATACAAAATATAAGACTGTGCTGACAGATTCTTTAAAAGGGAAAATGTGGGGCCGGCCCGGTGGCGCACTGCTACAGTGTGCCGCTTGGGAGCGCGGCGCTCCCGCCCGAGGGTTCGGATCCCACATACAGACCGGTTCCCGCTCACTGGCTGAGCGAGGCGCGGGGGCAACACCGAGGGTTGCGATCCCGTTGCTGGTCCCGGTCCAGTACGGGGGCAACACTGAGGGTTGCGATCCGTTGCCGGACACGAAAAAAGACAAAAAAAGGGAAAATGTGCATATTTTATATAATGATATTTATAAATCGTGGGGGGTTTATCTCCTTTTTTCCTTCACTCAGTAACTTGGAAGGAAGGTGTTGAGAGAGCAAAATAAAAGTCTGGAGCTGTGCCTAAGTAGTTCTGATTTTCAGAAAATAGAAGAAGATTGATTCCACAACTGTAGACCAGTGAATATAGCATCTATTCCTTTGATTTCAGCATAAAGAGTTTGTTGGGTTGTTTTGTGAATCTTTAGATAAGAAAATAAGTTCAAGTAGACCCAACATAGATATTTCTAAAAATGTGAAACATGATCTGTTTTTTATTTCTTTACTAGTAGAGTAGGGAAATTAGCTTAGTATATCTTGATTTAGGCAAGGCATTGAGGCAAGTTTACTCATAACATCCTTTGGACAAAATGTAGAAATATGACAGAGCTGCTGGATTACCCGTGCTGACCTAAGGGTTTGAGCTTCAGTTATTCAACAGATTATTGTCAATCTGGGGCTGATTCTAAGGCCAAGTGCATATCTTAGATACCAGTGTATTCAGTAATTTTGTTGGTGGATGAAGATATAGAAG